ATATATATATATGTGTGTGTGTGTGTATATGTATATATATATGTGTATATATATGTGTGTGTGTATATATATCTATCTATATATATATATATATAGATATATATATACCCCCTATGATTAACCCTCAGCGCTTTCCCACCCTCTTCTCACACCGTATATGGTGCCTACAGTTGTCTTACATTCCTTCTCCCTCCACATTTTACTGATCATACAATTTCTTAAATAATCTAACTACTTTCAATAGCAAGTTCAGCTGGTAATTTCAAGAGAAGCGATTTTCAATTGGTAAGGAAGTTTCCTTAAAGCTTGGAAACAGGTTAGTATCCTGTTCAAATAGTAGGTACATGAAACTATTGACAGCTCAAGACATGACAAAAACTCTTAAAACCAGACAACAAAGCCTAGAAGAAAAGCACCAATATTTTAGTCAAAACTCACAGAATGCTATTTCACCAGTTCAGTCTCATGTACTTAATCTACCTTCTGCTGTGGTTCAATCTTCCTGATTGAATTCTGGGCTATAATATTCAACTCTAGACTTGTCCCTATGATTAAGTTGGCCATTTTCTTAGTTTGTGAACTCTTATTTCTGTGTGACTACATTTAATTTTCCTGACATAGTACTCCGTTGAGAACTTCTTGGAGATCTGGTCTGGTGCTGGCAAATTCTTTCTGGTTTTGTTTATCTGAGAATGTTCTTGTCTTTTCTTCCCATATGAAGGACAGTCTTCCCAGGTACAGTATTCTCAGTTGTAATATCTTTTCCCTTAACACTTTGAATATATTTTCTCATTCTTTCCTTGCTCACATTGTTTCTGATGATAAGTCTGCTGTTAGTCTGATGGGATATCTTTTGTAGGGAACTTTCTGTTTCTCTCTTTCCAATCTTAATTTCTTGTCTTTGTCTGTGATTTTGGTCAGTCTGGCTAAAATGTGTCTTGGAGAAGATCTTCTTGGGTTGATTCTATTTGGAGACCTTTGTAATTCTTGGGACTGGATCTTTGAGTGCCCCTCTCTAGGTTTGGAAAGTTTTCTTGCAGGATTTCATGGAATAGATTATCAATGCCCTTATGAGTCTCTGCCTTCCGGGATGCCAATTATCCGGATGTTTGGACATTTGATGTTATCTAGTATTTCTCATATATTATTCTCAAATTTTGGGTCAATTTTCTCAGTCTTTGTGTTGGATTTTTCTAGGCCAGCAATTTTCACTTCTATGTCTGAAATTCTATTTTCTGTATGATCTAGTCTGCTTTTAATACTTTCAAGGGAGATTTTTTACTTCCTGTATTATAGTCTTCATCTCTAACAATTCCATTTGATTCTTTTATAAAGTGTGTAATTCTTCTTTTAGATCTTGTAAGAATTTCCTCATCTCCTGGCTCTCGGTCAGCTCCTTTTTTCTTTCTCTTCTGCAGTTCATTGCCTCTGTTCATCCATCTCTGTTAGTTTTGCCATTATGAATGTTCTAAATTCTTTATCAGACATATCCATGATTTCCATTGAACTGTCTGTGGATAAAGAGGAGCCATTCTTTTCCCTTAGGAGAGAGGTATTTTTCTTGCTTTCCCATATTTTTTGTGGTTCTGTAGTGATTTCTAGACATCTGATGGAAAGATGTGTTTCTTACCAAACTTGAAGATCATTCTGAGCATCCAGGAGCATGCAGAAAAGGAAACAGAGAGAGAGAAACAACAGCAACAAAAACAACCAAGAAACAGTTTTTTTTTTAAAAAAACAAAAGCTAATTTTTTTTTTTTTGGCAAAAATTAGAAAACCCCATGGTGTGCAAGTATGCCACATGAAATCACTCGTTCTCAGTAGCCATGAAGGGGTCTTCTGAGGCCTGTGCCCTTGCCTCTCCTGGGTTGGGAGGGGAAGAGGGGATTATTAACAACATAAGGGAAAGGAGGGACTGAGAGCCCAGAAACTGCTTAAGTGAAAAATTTTAAAAAGGAAAAATTGCAAAAAGATGAGAAGACAGAGACAGAGGTAGTGAGAGACAAAGACAGATACAGAGACAGGAGGCTGGAAATTCTTCTTCCTACCACACGAGTTTGAGGGCTAGAGGCTGAATTATCAGTGGAAAATCTTCATTTCTCCTAGTCCCCCAAAATCACTAGTTCTCAGTAGCCATGAAGGGATCTTCTCCATCTCTTTTGAAATACATGTAAAGTTGTTA